TGAACTTTTGGGTATTTCGAATCATGTCTCAAGAAAAAGAATTTCACTTTATTCGCTACCACTCTGAGATCAGAAGAACTGGATGGTGCCCAACTACTAGCGCTGATGACTCTGAAAAGTGTCAGAATAGAAGGTCCCTGAAAAGGGGGAGGAAAAAGTGAAAGAAAACCAAAAATAATTAAAAAAAAAAAGACTAGGCTTACTGGTCTGATACTCAAGACTATGACTATTTGCCATTCATCATGAGTGAACTAAAAATTTCTCTCTTAACTCATATTTCAGGCAATAACAGGCCTAGAGCATGATCTAGAATTCCAAGGAGAAATCCACTCCTTAAAACAACCAACTAGCCTGGTGGCCTAGTGGCAAGAAGCTGCACAGCAATCCCAGAGGTATGCAGTTCAAATCCACCTCATGCTCTGCTGAAGAAGGAGGGACAATCTCCTCCTGTAGCAGTCAGATAGGATTTGATGATACACACACAAAATAATTAAAAAGAACTACAACCAACTAACAAGATAGGGACCTCGGGTGGGCGGGTGAGCAAAGAGTTGCACTGTCAACCCAAAGGTATTTGAATCCACCAGCTTCTCCAAGGGGAGGGGGGAATCTCCTCCTTTGCAGTCTATAGCTTTAAAAACTCACTGAAGGGTCAACTATGAGTTGGTTCTGAATCCTGGGCAATGAGTTAGTTATGTAAGATCAAAAGATCTTTTTCCTTAGATCAGATCTCAGAAGGCAGAAAGATCTTCCTCCTCAGAAGATAGGAAAGAAGGATGAATGAAAATGGAATAGACAGGGAGGAAGTGATCAATATCATAACACATAATGTGCATGATTTGTTGAGTGGAAAACAGCATGTTCTGGAAGCTTTCATTCAAATCACAATACAAATTTTTAAACTTTGAGACCAATCCTTAAAGCTTTAAAGAAAAACTTTTAAAAAGTAAACTTTTTTTTAAGTGGAAACAATTCCACCAATAAACTGCAAATAAGCCAGACATTTCCAGTTCAAAATGGAAACACATGAGGACTGGATGAATAGATGGGTAAATTCTTTTTATCTTCCTAAATGGAGTGAGGTCTGGTGGCCTAGTTGTAAGGAGCTCCCATCTAGGAAGGTAAAAGGCACCTGATTGGAATCCACCCGCCACTGCACAGGAGAAACGTGGGCAACCAGCTCCTGTGCGATTTACTACCTCTGAAAACCTGCTAGAGATTGGTTCCAACTCAATGGCATATAGCAATTACAAATGGGAGAGTCTAAATAAGAGAGCTGGGTCTAAATAAAAGAGACTAGGAGCTCTGGTGGCCTAGTGGCAAGAAGCTGCACTGCAATCCCAGAGATGAGCAGTTCAAACCCATCAGATGCTTTGCTGGAGAAGGAGGGGCAATCTCCTCCTGTACCAGTCAGATCCGATTTGATAGTACACACACAAAAAATAATAATGATTTTTTTAAAAATTTTTAAAAATCCCATGAGAGTCTAAATTAAGGGGCTGAGTCTAAATTAAGAGGTCTGGGGATGGGGAGTAAGGGGGTAGAAAATGTACAACAATGAAAAAGAAATAAAAATATAATACAAAAACCCTCATACAAGAGGAAACACTAATGGCTAATGACAATGGGAAAACATCACTCTTTTTTTTTACCAATCTCTTAAGAAATAAAAATTAAAACAAAAAATTATTACTTAGAAGCAACAGCCAAGAAAGAAGATTGTGAACAAATACTGAACTCCAATTCCGTAATAATATGGAGGCTGAACTATTTTGGGAGGATGTTCTGATACCTGCAATTTATTTGGGGATGGAGGATGATAGCTAAGAGGTGCAGTGTCTATTCTGGGTTCTTTTAGAACATTTTTTCCCCTTGTTGTATACCATTGAATCAGATCCGACTGGCACAGGAGGAGGTCGCCCCTTCCTCTCCAGCGAAGCCTCTGGTGGATTTGAACCATGCACCTTCGGGAATGAAGTGCAGTTTCTTGTCACTAGGCCAACAGAGCTCCCTCTCTTAGAACATTCTGAGGTAAATGTTCTAAAAATTATTGTGGTGATGGTTGCACGACTCTGTATATTAAGGGCTACTGAGCCACAAAGAGCCATGATGGAGTAGTGCTGCTAACCAAAAGGTCAGTGGTTCAAATCCACCAGTACCTCTGCATAGAACGATGGGCAGTCTTCTTCCATAAAGATGTACAGCTTTAGGAATCTGATGGAAAATCCCTGTAAGACAGAATCCATTCCACACCAGTGGGTGAAACGGACTGAACCGGACACATTAAAAGAGTGACTTGCACACAATGCAAATTGTTGTTGTTGTTATGTGCTGTCAAGTCGTTTGCGACTCATAGCGACCCTATGCACAACAGCCCTAAACCCTGCTCTATCCTGCGCCAACCGCACTGCCTCTGACACACCCATCCCTATTACCCCAGTCACCGAGTCAATCCATCTCATAGAGGGTCTTCCCCTCCTGCGCTGTCCCTCCACCCTCTCAAGCATGATGTCCCTCTCCAAGGACCCGTCCCTCCTGGCAACATGTCCAAAGTAAGTCAGACGAAGCCCCAGAATCCTTGCCTCCAAGGAGTAGCTTGGTTTAATCCTCTCCAAGATGAATCTGTTTGTCCATGGTACATCTGGCAGTCCATGGTACATTCAGTACTCTTCTCCAGCACCACAGCTCAAAGGCATCAACTCTCCTGTCCTCTCTAGTCATTGTCCAACTCTCTGATGCATAACAAGCGATTGCAAAGACCATGGCCTGTATCAGGTGCACCTTAGTCTCCAGAGAGACACCGTTGCTCCTGAGTACTTTAGAGAGGTCCCTAACAGCAGACTTTCCCATTGTGATATGCTTTTTGATTTCCTGACTGCTGCTGCCAAGAGTGTTGACTGTGGAGCCGAGCAAACTGAAGCTGTGAACACTCTCAATCTCTTGGCCATCCATCCTGACGCCGCCAATTGGTCCAGTGGTGAGAATCTTTGTCTTCTTGACATTGAGCCTCAGTCCATACTGAAGGCTGCAGTCCTTGACCCTCCGCAGCAAGTGCAAATTATCTCTCAAGAAATTGGTTTTAAATTTATTTTTTCAATTTTATTATTTTTGTATGTGTATTGTCAAATCAGATCTGACTGGTACATGAGGAGATTGTCCCTCCTTCTCCAGTAAAGCATCTAATGGATTCAAACCATGTACCTCTGGGATTGCAGTGTGGCTTCTTGCCACTAGGCCACCAGAGCTCCCCAAGAAACTGATTTTAAAAATACAAGGGGGAAAAAAAAAACACCAAAAACCAACAACAGCAGCAGCTGTGGGAAACAGTTTGGCAGTTTCTCAGAAAATTAGCCATAGAATTCTCACATGAGCTGGTCATTCCACACTTTGGTGTATACCCCAAAGAAATGAAAGCAGGCACACACAGAGATTTTGATCGAGCAATGTTCAGGGAGCTCTGGTGATGGCCGTATGGGTAAAGAGTCGTGCTGTCAATCCAAAGGCAGGTGTGAATTCACCAGCTGTTCCAAGAGAGAAAGATGGGCAATCTCCTCCCCTCTCTGCACAGCCTCGGAGCCCGTGCCCGAGGGCCAGTTATGAGTCACTTCCAACTCCACGGCTCCTAACAACCACCTCAAGCGAATGAGGACACTATTATTGAAGAGAACACTGTCCAAGCTAACTTGTTAACTCAAGTTTGATTAAAGGCCTACAAACTGCAGCCCGTTGGTGATTCCTCAGCACCTCTATGTATGACATTGTGTCTGGGGAGGAGTCATTTTAAAGCAGTTTAGTGGTAGAGCTCTTGCTTCCCATGGGAGACGGCTCAGTTTGATGCCTGGCCCCTCACCTATAATCAATTACTTGTCTATCAGCAGATGCTTGCATGCTGCTATCAGGTCAAAGAGGTTTCAGGAGTTCCTGGATTAAAAGTGACTAGGAAGAAAGACCAGGCGATCTAGTTCTGAAGGCAGCCAGGAATGAGGCAGTTAATTCGACAACTAGCTCACAACAGCAGCCAGAAGAGTATGGTTTCTCTACTTTAACCTTGATCTGGGCAAAAAGTGGTTCACAATTTCCTAGGGAGGACCAGAGAGGGACAGCATTCTGCCCAGGGTCACACAGCCCCAGAGCTCCAAGAATCCTTAGGTTCTCACCTCCTAGAACGTGTGTCAGGTTCCAACTCTAGCTCCAACCCTGACCCCTGGCTGTCTCCTCCTTCCGACTTCTCAGAAAGAAAATAAAATAAAATAAACCCATGCCAGGAAACGGCTGTCAAGTCCTGTCCAGCAGGCCGGAGGGGCAAGGGTCAGCGGGGAGGTGACCTCAACGTCTCCATGGGGACCAGGAGCTTTCAGGAGCTGGGGGCAAGAGGCTGGGCATTTTCCCACCCTGTGACTTTTCCTGCATCAACCCAGGAGGGCGCCCTGGATGCCGCCACCCTGCCCCCCACCTCCTTCCTCTCTTCACGCGGCTTCCCGGCCGAGGATGGATGGCAGGGCGGGCCGAGGCCAGGCAGCCAGGCCCGGAAAAGACCAGCCTCTTGGCTGCCAAGCCGGGGACCCCAGAGCGTGGCCGCCCGGGCCCTGCCTCGCTGTCCCATCGCCCTGGGGACTCGGCGCAGAGTGGGGGGCCGGGCCTGCTGGCTCTCAGCTCACAGGAGTTGGCCCCAGGCCTGGCCTTGAGCTAACCTTGGCCTTGTCCCCGTCCTTCCTCCCCCACACGGTCGGGTTCAGCCCTTCCTCATGTTAAATAGAAACCTCTTTATTCTAAGTATCGTACATTCTTCAATACATTGGATTTTGGCCAGACCTTGAGGCGAGGGGGAAGGGGGTACTGGGCTATTTCTGGGGAGCCGTCCAAACAACACCCCACCTGGCACGCAGGAAGGGGACGCCAGGAGTGGACAGTGTGGCCATGGGCAAGTCCTTGTCCCCCCTGGCCTCAGTTTCCCCTCTGAGTTTGGGGGTTGATGAGAAGACCCCAAGGCGTCTGTGGTTTCAGGAGGGGGGTCAGGAATGGGAGGGGGGTTGTCAGCAGCAAAGATGGGGTCTCGGAGGTGGACAGGAGGCTTGGGGGGCTCTCAGGGCTGGGACCGGGGTCGAAGTGAAGTCGGGGGTCGAGGCCTTGGCAGACAGGCCAGCCGGGGCCTGGACAGCCGGGAGAGGGGCAGGCGGCCGAGGAGCAGCGGGAGGCCGAGGCAGAAGGGCGGCCGTGGCACCGGGATGTCGGCGAAGAAAGCCCGGTCCCGGGGGGCGGCCAGCGCGCCCCCCTGAGACAGCTCCAGGTCGCGGGCCACCGCCAGGATCTCGTGGCGCGCGGCGGCGTTGCGGAGACCTCGGATGTCCAGGAGGGCCGCCACGTGCTTTCGCCTGGGGACAGAGGGCAGGACAGTGGGGCCATGGTCGCTGGAGACCCCCAGACCAGGTGTGGACCCCACCCGAACCCCTACCTGTCTCAGCCACAATCCCCTAGAATCTCAGCCCCAGCCAGGCTTAGTTCTCAGGCGGGATCCTCCTCCAGACCCCAACCCTACCCTCCCCTTCACAGGCCCCTCCAGACCTCTCCCCTACACCACACCGTACCCCTACACTAGACCCCGCCCCCACACCACCCTAGACCCCCGTCCCTACACTAATCCCCCCAAAAGCCCTCCCTTTCATAGGCCCCTCCAGACTCCTTTCCTACACTCCAACCCACCCCTCCACTAGACCTCACCCCTACATCTATCTCCCCTCCAGACAGACCCCTTATAGGAGACCCTTCCCTACACCAGACCCCACCCCAATTATCAGTCACTGCCCCATACCACCCTTACAGAACCCGCCCCCACACCAGACCTACCACTACCCTAGAACATGCAGACCCCTCCCCTACACCACCTGGAAACCCCACTCAGACATCAGAACCTTCAGACCCCACACAAACCAGGCTCCGCCCCTACACCATCTCTCTAATCCTCTCTACACCTCCAGACCCCTTCACCTTCATCCATTTCCAAATCCCCCCAGTCGCAATGATTCCAGAACCTTCTCCTCTAAGCCCAACAGGGTAATCTGCTCTGTCCACCCCAGCTCTTGTGTAAAATACCTTTTAATCTAATTCCAACATCTCCTAAATTCCCCTCCCGGTCCCCTCACATCTGTGTGAGCTCTGCTCTCCACAGCAAACTTTCGCCTTCACTTTGGTCAATCATCACACACATCCAAAGAACCTTCCAGTTACATTCCCCTGCCAACTCCCACTTCACCTCACCTCACGTCCAGGTCTGGAACCTTCACCACTGGCCTCCACCACTTCTCCATCCTGAACCCTCTCCCAAAACTCAACTCACCTCCCAAAACCCCATCCTCACCTTCACCCTCAGGTTCAGCCTGGGAAGACCCCTAATCCAGGTCCAGAATCAAACTAACCCAAAATTCCAGTCCAGAACCAGACCTGGGCCCCCTCCTCCACTCTGGTCAGAAGCTTTGTGCTCACACAACATTCTAGAACTTTCTCCTTCCTTTCCAACTCAATTCCAGATCACGGATCCAAAACTCAGCTCTAGAATGACCACCACTTTTCAACTCAAGATCCTGAATCCAACATTCAGTTCCACAGCCCTTATTCTTGTCCATAGCACAGCTGTGCTAGAATAAAGCAAGCTCTGACACTTCTGCCACCACTTTCAGGCCACTCAGGGTCTCCACCTTCACCTCCGAGCCCAGCACATGCCTTGCCCCTGTTTATATGGAGTTTGGGGTCTCTGGGTACAAGATGCCCAAATGCTAGAGACTAAGACCTCGATGTGTGGCTGCCACCAAGTCACGCCATCCAGGCTTCAAAAATAAGATGGGTGATGGCCAAGCACATCACATCCACAGCCACCTTGCTGCCAGGGTTCAAGTCCCGACACTGCCCATTTGTGAGCTGTGACATTTGAAACAAAACAAAACAACAAAAAACCAACTAAACCCTTTGGCATGGAGTTGATCCCAACTCAGCAAAAAAACAGGCCAGACCCCAGAAGGATCTCATAATGCTTTCCCAGGCTTTGTGGGATGGAGCTGTGATGGCTTAGTGGTAAGAAATGGCACTGCCGACTTAAGGCCAGGTGGTTCCAATCCACCAGCTGCTCCTTGGGAGAAATTGCTCCTGTGCAATTTATACCTACTGGAGAGTCAGCTATGAGTGGGTTCCGACTGGGAGACACTCTTTATAGGAAGCAAACTAGCACATCTTTTCTCCTTCAGAGCAGCTGGGGTATTCAAACTGCTGAACTTTTTTTTTTTTTTCAAACTGCTGAACTTTAAGTTAGTAGATGAGCACTTAACCACTGCACTACCAAACCCACTTAATCAGGGAGCTCTGTGGCCTACTGGCAAGAAGCTGCACTGCAATCCCAGAGGTATGTGGTTCGAATCCACCAGATGCTCTGCTGGAGAAGGAGGGCAATCTCCTCCTGTACCAGTCAGATCCAATTTGACAGTACACACACACCAAAAAAAATTTTTAAAAAAACTACTTAATATCTGTATGCCTCTGACACTCACAGTTCCTCCCAAGGCCTGGGGAGGCTTGCATGATCTACTAAGTACAGTTCTTAAAACAGGGTTGGTTGGCAATTAAGATTTTTTTTCAATAGGTATGAATGGTTGAATGGAAAACCAATTTGCTCTGCAAGCTTTCACTCAAATCACAATGTTTTAACCCAAACCAAAAGTGTTGGGCCTTGCTTGCCTATGTTAACCCTTTGCCATCGAGTTGTGGCTGACTCCTAGCTGCTCTCCACCGGTTTCTGGGCCGAGGATGGAAATCTCTGCGGGAGGACACTGCCTAGCTTTCTTCACTGGAGCCACCAGTGGACTGGAGCCCTCAAACCTTTCAATGAGCAGTGCAACAACACACACTCCTTTCACGTGTCTTTGATTTGCTACAAGAATGTTTCCCATGCTGTGGGTTCCCCTCAACTTTGGTCTGACACATGCATCTGAGGGGTGCTGTGCTCCAATGGGTTTTCAAGGGCTCTTTTTTCCCCCCAGAAGTAGCTAGCCAGGCCTTTCTTTCTAGGTGCCTGAGTGGAGGCAACTTCTCTGTATTTTTTTTTTAGTTTTTTTTATATTTATTTTATTATTTTTGTGTGCGTGTACCGTCAAATCAGATCTGGCTGGTACAGGAGGAGATTGTCCCTCCTTCCCCGGCAGAGCACCTGGTGGATTCAACCGTTCACCTCTGGGATTGTAGTTGCAGCTCCTTGCCACTAGGCCACCAGAGCTCCCCAACTTCTCTGTATTAACTGCTCACTGCCTAAGGAGAATTTCTACTATAGGTCTTCCTATATAGATTGTGCATATAAGACACCTCTATGAAAGTCTGGTCCGACCTCAGGATTCAATATATTGTTATGTTGTTTTGTATGATCGGGACTGACGCATGGCAGACCCTCCAAGTGGGTTTTCAAAGGCCGTTTGTCCCATGAGAGGAGCCTGTCTATCTTTCTCTCTTGGAGCAGCTGATGGATTCAGAGCTCATGCCTTTAGGTGGGCAGCTCAACTCTTTAGCACTATCAATAAGCAAGAATAAATCCAGCTGACCTGAGGGAAGAGAGATGGACAACTTATAGCCTCCGAAAACCCACTGGAGGGTCAGCTGTGAGTCTCTTGCACCCAGACAGCATAGAACAACAACATAACAGCTTTGTTATTAAATCAGTGATCCCGAGCTCATTGCTAACGGAAGGGTGAGTGGTTCAAAGCCACCAGCCCCTCAGAAATCCTATGGGGCAGTTCTATTCAGTCCTACAGGGTCACCATGAGTTCCCATCGACTGGACAGCAATGCGCTTCGTAACCGCTGCCCCAGTTTTTGGATGATGGTGAGGAGTTCATCCATCAAGAGGGTGTGGTTATCCCCACGGGAACAGAGGAGGACACTGAGGTGCAGGGAGGGTCACACCGAGAGGCGGTGGCCTGCCAGGGTGGGCCTGTGGCAGTGCGTGCGCGCCCGCGTGCCCATGCGTGTCCCCAGGCCCCCGCGGCTGCCCTGCGGGGCCGGCCCTTCCTGCCCTGGCTTCCGGTCACCGCCTGTTTGTTTGCGAGCCCTGGTGGCGGTGGCGGCAGCGGCGGCGGCTGGCGAAGGAGGGAAATCGTATTAATAACGCCCTACATCCAGCAGGAAACGGCCCTCAGACACGCTCGCCGCCTCCCTCCCTCGCCCGGAGGCAGGAAACGCGCGGACGGATGCCAAGCGCGGAGACCTTGGCCAGGCGGCGGGGCGGGCCTAGGGGACAGGCGGCCGCAGGCGCTCACCTGATGTCGGGGTAGTCCCGCACCAGCACCCCCACCTCCACCTGGATGCTGGGCGTGTCTTCCAGCTGCAGGACTTCGGCCAGATGAGGCACCACCGCGTCCAGCCACGAGGCCTGCGACTCCTGCAGGGGAGGGACCCAGACGGGGCTCATACCCTCACCCCCACGCCCCTCCCAACCCTTCCTGTCTCCCTCCCCCATGACCCGGACCCATGCAGTTCCCCTGCCCTTCCTGGCCTCAATTTCTCCGTCTGTAAAATGGGTCCAGAAATTGGCCTTTGGAAATCTCCAGGGGAAAGAAATAAGCCTCTTGTCTAGGTCCTTGAAAATCCTTTAGGGATAAAAGTGCCAACTCCCCCATCCTCCTGAAGCTGTTATTCCTTTGCATGAATAACAAAGCTTTCCAGGATGTCAGGGTGACTCAGTTTCCTCAGCTGTAACATGAGGATAATAATAGTTAGTCCCCGTCCATTGTCAGGGCCATTAGTGGTGGAAACGGATTGCACTGGACTGCCAAAGATTAGTAGTTGAAATCCACCCACTGGTAGCGTGGAAGAAAGGCCTGGCTATTTCTGTAAAGACGGGGGGGGGGGGGGGGAATCCACCAAAACCCTATGGAACAGTTCTACTTTGTAAGAATTCTACTTTGGAGCCTGACTCGACCCCAGGGCAACTAGCTTTAAAAATTTTTCTTAGCGGGGAGCTCTGGTGGCCTAGTGACAAAAAAATCTGCACTGCAATCCCACAGGCGTAAGGTTTGAAGAGGAGGGACAATCTCCTCCTCTACCAGTCAGATTCAATTTGATGGTACACACACAAAAAACAATAATTAAAAAATTTAAAAAATAAATTAAAAAATTTTTATGAGCATCATCCATTCCAGGGGTTAAATGAGGTCATTCCCCTTTGTGCTTCGGGCCTCCCCTGGTTCAGAGCTAACAGTCCAGGGGTCCTCAGAGGTCAAAGGTTCCCTGGGTTCTGAGCTCCCCATGCCGACCCTCCCGCACTGACCAGCCGCCGGAACAGCCTCTGGAGCTGCGCCGCGTCCTCCCGCAGCCTCCCGGCCACGCGGCTGCGGGTTCGGGCCGAGCGGCAGCGTAGGCGCCCACGGAGCAGGGGCCGCACGTACTCGACCAGGGCCCGGCGGTGCAGCTCGGCTACCAACGCCTGGGGGTGAGTGGGAGGTGGGGGGAGAGACAGGGAGGGTCAGTCAAGTGATCCTGCTCCTCCCCTCCCCCTTGCCCCGCCCCTTCCTCATCTCCCTCCTCGCCCCGACTCCCACTAACCCAGCTGACCCAGGTACCAGCAGGTGATACCCTCCCTGCGCCTTTATCACCAGGCCACAGTCACGCTTCACCGCAGAAGGCTTCTTCCATAACCCAGAGACCCTCCTTCCAGTGCCCCCCATCCTGTCTGCACCCTCCTCCACCCGAGTCCCTGTTTTTGGGGTCCCCCGTCTCCACAGCAGGCGTACCTGGTAGGGCTCGTCCTGCATCCGGCGCAGCGCCAGCGCCTGGGCGCCCAGCGTACTCACGATGCTGTCCAGGGCCTCAGGGCTGCTCAGCCATTTCCTCCGCATCAGCTTGTTGAAGTGGGGCTGCGGGCGACAGGGGCGCGAGTCACAGCTCTCCCCCCTTCCACCCTCTTTCTTCACTTTCTCTCAACACACATTCCCAAAATCCTACTCCTCACTCAGCCTGCGCTGGGTGATGCAGGACAAAGACGCCCGCCCCCCAAAGTCCTGCTCCCAGGGGGCTCTCCAACCAAGGGAAAGACAGATCTGTCCCAAGACAATGAGGTCCTCCAGTGGGCAGAGCTGGGGGCAGGGGGCGCCCAGGAGGCTGGGGGAGCTCAGAGGGAATCTTGTTCAGCACAGTCGGGGGGGGGGGTCCCTGGAGGAGGGGGCAGCTGAGCTGAAACTGGAAGGAAGTAAGGGTTGCAAAGGAGAAGCTTAAGTTAAGGAAACCACAGGCATGCAGAGCCTATTGAAAACCAAAGGAGAGCCAACAGGCTGGCAAGACTGATAATTGTGGAGGAGCTCTATGAAAAATGAAACAGAATGGATGATCCTTTAAAAGCTAAGAATTCCAAGATGGCAACAACAGCACATTAAACTAAGGAGGGTGGGGACTTCTAAGAGGCTGTCAAGGTGAGATGAGTGACAGGTTGGGTCCCTATGGTGGGGTAGGATGTGGGCAGGGATCAGGTGGGAAGGGCCAGACCACAGAGGGAAGGGGCTTAGCGAGGAGCCTGGACTCTCTCCCAAAGCCACTGGGAACTGTCGATGAGATTCTGAGTGGGAGACAGAGTGTGAGGCTGAGTTGTACACAGAGAGGGGTGAAGTGGGTGTGAGACTTAACAGAACCGGGAGTGTGTGTGTGTGGGGGGGAACACACCAGGTGGTGGGCACAAGGTACGGGCAAGGAGAATCCAGGTGGGAGATGGCATAGGAGGTAGTGAGTGATCTCAGGTCCCTGGGGGATTAAAACTGTTAACACACTTATCTGCTAACTGAAAGGTTGCAAGTTCAAGTCCACCCAGAAGCACTTTGAAAGAAAAACTTGGTAATCTACCTCCGTAACAACATAAATCAACCCTTGGAATAAACCCTTAGGAAGCATAGTTCTACTTTGACACCCATGGGGCTACCATGAGTTAGATGCAAGTCCTCTACAACTGGTTTTAACTGGCTTAATGAAGGAGTGGCATCCACTTCCGAAATAGTTTGCCTCCGGAAACCCTATGGACCTGGAGAAACCATGAAAGTATACAAGGGTTCAGGTCTTTGGTTCATAGGGTCGCTATGAATCGCCTATGACTCGATGACACTTAACAACAATAACAATGAGTGATCACGAATGGGGCAGGGGAGGGAAGGGGGGCAGGTTGGGGCAAAATGCTAGAATCAGAGTGGGCCGTGGGGCTGTCCCCGGGATGGGGTTACAATCTGCAGTACTGTCCCTCATGTGGGCAGTGGCCCAGCTTCCATAACTAGGACCTGCAAGCTTCCTGTAAAGCAGGGCGTCTGCAATAACCTACATAACACGTCCGGTCCTGTGTGATTCTTGGGGAAGGAGGTGAAAAGGGACCCACTTTGTCTGAGATTCATTTGCTTACATGCACAGACACCTCTCTCCCTCTCTACGTCCGGTCCTGTGTGATTCTTGGGGAAGGAGGTGAAAAGGGACCCACTTTGTCTGAGATTCATTTGCTTACATGCACAGACACCTCTCTCCCTCTCTCCACTCCCCCCCTCCCAACAGATGAGATGTTCCCCATAGAGGCAAGTCTCATGAAGCTTCATCTCACATTCTTTGTTTTGTTGTTTTAGTTTTTTGGGTTGTTTTTTTTTAATTCTTTTCATTTGTTGCATGCTGTTGAATCTCATCTGACTAGCACAGGAGGAGATTGCCCCTCCTTCTCCAGCGGAGCATCTGGTGGATTTGAACTGCGTGCCTTCGAGATTGCAGCACAGCTTGTTGCCACTAGGCCACCAGAGCTCCCTTCTTCTCACATACTTTGGGCATGTTGCTGGGAGAGACTATTCCTTGGGGAAGGACATTGTGCTTGGAAGGGTGGGGGGATGGCAAAAGAGAAGAAGACCCTCAACCAGGTGGAGAGACTGCAGCAGTGGGCCCTGGTGTGTCAGAGATTTGTGAGGACGGCACAGGATAGGACAGGGTTCAGATCTGTTGTTCACAGGGTCGCTATGGGTTGTACTTGACTCAGGGCATCTAACCACCACTACCCCCACAGTTAACACACCTATACACACCTGCTCTGTATCTCCCTGAACTTTAAGGATATGTATATATTTATAAGGGAGCTCAGGGGGGCCCGTGGTAAGGAGCTGTCAGGGCCTGGCTAACCTGCAAAGCAGGATCAGCAATGCATTGTAAAAACAGCAAGACCACTCATCTTGGCTTGACCATCCTTTCTATAACTACTTTCTATAACTTTCTACAACTCCAGGGAGCAGTATGCTAATGAATAAGGAGGGACCAAAGGCCTCAGAATTCTAGGAATGTGATATCTTCTTGTTTTCCAATAGATATCACAGGATATCCCAGAAGATGTCTTTGTTTTGTATTGAGGTCGGACAGATAAGAGATAATGCAATCACCCCTGCAGGCATGTTCCTAAGACGTGTGTGTGTGTGTGTGTGTATATATACCCTTGCCAGAATATTAAACTTGCTATTTGTCATCAGCAATTAGCCTCTCCGCATCTTCATTTCAACCTGGTGCCTCCTTTTGGCGGAATTCTCCCTACATATTGGGGCTGGATCCCCGAAGGACTGCAGTCCCAAAGGCATGAAGTTCAAATCCACTAGGAGCTCCTTGAGGGATGAACGAGAAATTTCCTCCCGTGTAAGTTAACTGCCTCTGAAAACTGGCTTGGAGAGTCAGCTATGGGTCAATTCCGACTCGACGGTACACAGCAACATCATACATATAAAAGGAGCCTTGGGGGAGTAAATGCACAATAGAGAGGGCAGCAGTTCAAATACACCAGCTGCTGTGTGGGAGATGAGCAGTCATCCTCCTGTAAAGATTTACACCAGGAGCTGGAATCAATGAGGACAGCGTGTTTGTTAATGTGTATTTTAAGTTACACCCACTCACTCACTGCGGTTAGGCTGGACCTGACCCGTAGCTGGTCCTTCAGCGGGTTTCTAAGGCTCAAGTCACTTGGGGGCGGGGGGTGGGGAGACTGCTCATTCGTCTCCTGTGGAGCTGCTCCTGGGATCAGCCGGGCGGAGCAGTGGTGGCCCTGGGTGAGGAGAGCAATCGCCCGCAGACCACACCACTAGACCTTCCTACTGGCGATGCAGTGCTGTGTGCATGGTGAGCTGTAACCCAAAGGTCGGCAGTTCAAATCCACCAGCCAACCTGCTGTACGTAAGCATTCTCTTCCCATTCAGATTTATAATCTTGAAAACCCACTAGAGGGTCCCAATGAATCAGAATTGACTATGGCGGTGAGTTTTTGTTTTGTTTTGTTGCTGTTGTTGTTGTTTTTAATTTTCTTTTATTATTTTGTGTGTGTTTACTGTCAAATCTGATCTGACTGGTACAGGAGGCGACTGCCCCTCCTTCTCCATCTGGTGGATTCAAATCGCCTGCCTCTGAGATTGCAGTGCAGCTTCTTGCCACTAGACCACCAGAGCTCCCTGGGCTTTGTTTTTTAAATAATAGGAAGCTCTGGTGGCTTAGTGGTTAACAGTTGTGCTGCCAATCCAAAGGCACACAGTTCAACCCCCCCAGCTGCTCCGCAGGAGAAGGATGGGCAGTTGCCTCCCATGTGATTTCCTGCCTCTGAAAACCCTCTGAAGGGTCACTAGGAGTCTGTTCCAACTCAGCAATACACAACAACAACAAAAGGGGGCACTGTTTAAGCATCAGCTACAACGACAATGTAGAACAAGATTCAAATTCGTAACAATGACCAGACTTATTGGAAGGACAGACATAGCTGAACTCCCACCTTGACCAAAAACCCTTAGACACCTCTTTAACCTGGGACTGAAGTCACCCCAGGAAGTCATCTTTTGATCAAATAATAAATAGACTGGTCCGAAAAGGAACCAGCAATGTTCTGGAATGTGCTTTTTTAGAACAGTCGACAAGATCAAGCGGGCAACATTCACCCGAATGCAAGAGGGACAGGGAAAAGGGGTAAAGGACAACAGGGCAGATGGGGGGACAGTGGGGAGAGTGGTGACACTGCAGGGACAGTAAATAACCAAGATCATAGGACAATCTGTGTGGAACTTGTTGAACAGGAGTCTAATTTGCTGTGTAAGCTTTCACCTGGAACACACATGTCTTTATCTAAATAAAACCATAGATCCCAAAATGTGACTCTGACTCATACATACCCCCTAGGACACAGGAGAGCGACCCACAGGGGTTTCAAGGCTGTCAGTTTTACAGAAACCGACGGCTAGCTCCCAGGGAACCAGCTGGTGGGCTCGAACCACAAACCTTTTGGTTAGTATCCGAGTGTATATAACATTGTGCCACGCGTGCCTCTGAAACCATGTAGAAATCTACCTCAGTTCCACCCCACTGCCCACCGTGGATTCTGAGCCATGGCAACTGGGGTAAATGTTAACGGGGGAGGTTCTCTGGCCAGAGTGGCTGGTGAGCTGAACCACCCAACTTCTGGTTAGTGACCCACTCTGAAAACACTACGGGCTGGGGGCGGTGAGGGGGGGTGAGGGCTCAGAATGGCTTTTCATTGAAGATCATAGCAAGACTCTGAACGGACTCCTTCCTGTCCAATTCCCGGCTGAAAATTTTCACTTCCAGCACACAAGATGTATCCAAACAGAAGCCACAGTTTAGCGGGGATCTCTCTCTGCGTCTGATGTTACTAGACTCTGCCCCGAGGGTCTGTTGATTCGCATCTCATCCATCTGGGATCAAAATGCAAATTCTCAGCAGGGAGTTTAACCAGAACTGACCGGTTTGAAATCCAGACTTACAAACTCCTGCCCGACTTCCTGGACTCGGCACCTCTGAGCCTCAGTTTCCTCCCCTTGTAAAGTGGAGTTGACAAGTCAGACCTACCTCAGGGGGACTCTGTGAGAACCAAGAGAGCTCTGGTGGTGGAACCCCATAGGGAACTGGGCCGCTAACCCCAAGTCAGTGCCTCTCTGTGGGTTCGAATCCACTCACGGCTCCGAGCACATAACAAAAAATCTTTGCAGGCAGAAATAATTGGGTCATCTTTCTCCGGGGAAGAGGTTGGAGCATACACAGTCGGTCCTAGCTGGGAGGGGGGATTCATAGCCAAGAAAACCCTATAGAGAAGTTCTACTCTGCAGCACGCGGCGTCGCTGTAAGTACAAAGTGTCTTGAATCCAATGAGTTTGGATTTTTTGTTGTTGTTAAATCAGATCCAGGCTGGAGTGTTGATGGATGACATGAGAGGCTGCAAGGGATACGCTCTGCGCTTTAAAATAAGCCAGCAGCTGAAGGGCCGAAATGAGGTTGGCCAGGGGTCGTGGCTTACTGAAGCCAGGTGACAGGGGTCACAAAGGGTCATTCTGCCCTTCCGCACTTGAAATTTTCCATGATTAAAAACTTATTTTTTAAAAAAAACAACAACGCTTAACAAAAAAAAAAAACAAAAAACACCCACCCCACATTCCAAAAATCCCTGCCCTTGAGAAGCTAACATTCCAATGGGAAGAGACAGATAATAACATAAATAAATAAAAGCTGGCGTGACAGAGGCGGCTGTGTTTTGGAGGCAAACAGAGCAGGAAGTGCAGAGGGGGGCTTGAGGGGCAGCTATTGTAAATAAAGAGGTTGGGGAAGTGGTCAGAGAGAAGGTGACAAAGGAGTAAAGACTTGGGGAGGTGAAAGGGGAGAGCCCTGTAGATTGCTGGCAGGAGAACCTTGGAGGCTCAAAGGCACAGTCAGTGCAAAGGCCCTGGGGCAGCAGCCCAGGGCCAAGTTCCAAGAGACTGGGGGTGGGGCTGGAGCAGAGAGAGCAGAGGTAGTGTCACAGGGAAGGGGACAGATGATGCCGGGGCTCATGCAGTGGACTCTGGCTCTTATTCCCAGTGGGCTGGGAGCCCCAGAAAGAATGAGAATTGATAACACACCATGGATTACGCACACATGTTAAGCAGATACGATAATACACATCCCAGTGTTGTTTCTCATGCAACCTCCTCCACATAGGAACTCTCACACTGGCTCTAGTCTCAAAAGTGGGTGGATGGGGCTTGAGGACCTAGGAGAGGCTAGGCAAGAATTTAGGGGACCCCAGAGAAGAGAGGCTCCACTCATCTTCAAGTTTTCCTCCTGCTGGGGCCTCTCCACCTTCCACTGTCCACTTCCCTCCACCACTTCCTTCCTGTGCCCCCCACACACCACCAGCAGCCCAGGCAGGGCCAGTCTCCTCCTCTCATCTGTGTCCCCTGAACTCTGAGTCTCGGGCTGAAGGGAACTTGGGGAGGGAATGCCCCCTTGTGCTGGCACTGCCCCTCCTCACCTGCAGCTCCTGGAAGAGCAGGTCTGCCAGGACTCGGTGGCAGAGCCGGGTCACTCGGTCCAGAGCACTGGCTGCTGCTTCCCGGGCCGGCTCACTTTCAGGGGGCCCCACTCGTGCCAGTCGCTCAGCCAGGGTCCTGTGAAATCAGTGGAACCAGAGTCAGGAACCCCAACATCCAGAACAGCTGCCTGTGTCTCCCCTGATGATGGAGCTGCAGGAGGTTGGGGCTGGGGGGGGTGCAAGGAGGAGCTGGGGGAGGTGTGGGGGTGTTGAGGGGCTGAGGAAGCCTGGGGAAGTCAAGGTGATAGAGAAGAGAGATCTGGTGATAGGAGGGGGCTGGGGAAGGTCTTGGGGTGTGGGGAGATGGAGATGCTCTGGCCTGGGGGTGTTGAAGGACCGGGAAAGTTGAAATGTCAAGGGGTTGGGGAAAGTCTGGGGGTACTGCAGATCTGGGGAAGGTCTGAGGTCTGGAAGGTCCTGGGAGTGTGGGAGATAGGCGAGGTCTGCGGCTGTTAGCTGGGGCAAAGTCCGAGGAGTTTTGGGGGACTGGCCAAAGTCTGGGAGTATCTGGAAGCTGGGGAAGATCAGGGGCAGAGAGAGGACTGGGGTGAACCAGAAGTAAGGTCTGGGGTGCTAAGGGCTTGGGAAAGTGTGGGAGTGACAGGGAACTGGGCAGGTTGGAGGCTGGAAGATGTCTGAGGGCCTAGGGGGTGTCAGAAGGCTAGGGCATATCTGGGGTAGGGTTAGGGTATGTTGGAGGAGGGGAAGGGTCTCTCTGGGTCTCAGTTTCCCTTGGTGCTGTCCTGGGTGAATGTGGGGATACCTAAGGCTTGCCCACAAAGATAATGATTTTCATATTCCCAAAGTCTGTGGGGCAGGATCTCTCTAAATCTAAAATTCTAGACTTCCAAGTTCCTATAATTTTAGTGGTCTATGATCTCCCCTAGGTGAAGAGCAAGCAGCCTGGCCCGGGGCCTGTGGAGGGCAGTGGGGCACTGTCCACGCAGCTGACCCACACAAGCTCCCCGACACCGCAGGTTCTGGACTGAGTTCCTCCCGTCCCCACACTTATGACATGACACGTGTGCAAAGTCACTGTCTGCGAAAGAGCAGAGCTCAACACCCACTCCATCCGAGACCCGCTGAATAAATGACGGTGCAGCTACTAGTGAAAATACGGTTCAGATATTAAAAAGGCATGTGGAAATTCCAACTTCTCATGCAGCATACAGAAAAAGATTCCCCAGCTGTGAAAAGGAGGAAGAGCAGAAGAATGTACAATAATCTACTGTTGATTTTTTTTTAAAAAAGAAACAAAAAAATGTAACATATGTGTTCATAGGTAAACAGGCTTTCTTGTCTATAAATGCATAGGCACATATAAGGTGGTCCTGGCAGCCCACCGCTTACAGTGCTAAGCTGTTAACCAAAAGGTTAGTGGTTCTAACCTCTTCAGTGGCTCCACAAGAGAAAGACCTGGCAGTCTGCTCCCTGTTGTTGTTAGTATGACTCACAGCGACCCTGTGAACAAAAGATCTGAACCCCGTCCTATTCTGCGCCATTCTCACACTTCCTGACACGCAAGAGCCCATTGCAGCAGTCACCACATCGATCCACTCGGTCGAGGGTCTTCCTCTCCTTCACCGACCCTCCACCCTTCCCAGCATCACTTCCCTCTCCAAGGAACAGCCCCTCCTAGCAACAAGCCCAAAGTAGGTGAGGCGAAGCCTCATCATTCTTGCCTCCAAAGAGCACTCTGGCTGCATCCTCTCCAAGACATATGTATCTATTTGTTCTCTTGGCTGTCCATGGGATGTCGAGTGCTCTTCTCCAACACCCCAGCTCAAAGGTGTCAATTCTTTTCCTGTCATCCATCTTTACTGTCTAGCTCAGAAAAATGACAAGTGATCGGAAAGGCTATGGCCTGAGTCAGACACACCTTAGTCCTCAAACTGATATCATTACTCCTCAATAATTTGAAAAGGTCCCTAATTGCAGATTTCCCCAGGGCAATGTGTCTCCTTATTTCCTGACTGCTGGTACTAAGGGTGTTAATTGTGGATCCAAGCAAGATGGATGTGGTGGACAGTTTCCGTCTCTTCTCCATCCATCATGATGTTGCCTCTTGGTCCAGTGTTAAGAATTTTTGTCTTCTTGACATTGAGGTGCATTCCATAGAGAAGGCTGCATTCCTTGATCTTCTGCAACAAGTGTTTCAAGTCCTCCTCACTTTCAGCAAGCAAGGTTGGGTTGTCTGCATAACACAGGATATTGATGAGTCTCTCTCCAATCCTGATGTCACATTCCTCTTTGTAGAGTCCAGCTTCTCAAATACTCTGCTCCCAGAAATATTCCAAAACCCAAACTCATTGCTTTTTAGGTCATTCTGACTGATGTTGTTATTAGATGTCATGGAGTCAAGTATGACTCAGAGACTCTCTTGAAAACAGATCTAGATCTGTGCCATACCAGTAGTCAGGAAATCAAAATATAAATTACACTGTGAAAATCTGCAGTCAAGGAACTCTCCAGAGTGCTGAGGAGCAATGACATCAGTCTAGAGACTAAGGTGCGCCTGATCCAGACCATGGTCTTCACAATTACTTGCTGTGCATCAGAGAGCTGGACAATGACAAAGATGACAAAAGATCGATGCCTTTGAGTTGTAGTGCTGAATAAGAGTCTTGGACATACCAAGGACCGCCAAGAAAACAATTAAGTCTGTCTTGGAGAGGGTGAAACCAAGTTTCTCCTTGGAGGCTAGGATTTTGAAACTCTGTCTCACATACTTTGGGCACATCGCCAGGAGGGACCGGTCCTTGGAGAAGGACATCATGCTTGGAAGGGTGGAGGGACAGCGCTGGAGAGAAAGACCCCAATTGAGATGGATTGATATAGTAACTGGGGCAAAGGGCTAGGTGTGTCGGAGTCAGTGAGACAGGCTCAGGGCAGAGTAGAGTTCAGAGCTGGTGTACACAAGGTTGCTGTGAGTCACAGGCGACTCGACGACACATGATAACTACAACTGTGTCATCCTCATCTCCAATACACGTAAGCCCATTGCTGCAGTCACTGTGTCATCCATCTCGCTGAGGGTCTTCCTCTCATCTTCTGTCCCCCTGCATGATGCCTCTTCCAAGCGTGATGTCTTTTTCCAAGGAATAGCCTCCTCCAGCAATAGTCCAATATAAGAGAGACGAAGCTTTGCCGTCCAAGGAGCACTCTGGCTGCATCTTTTCCAAGACATTATCAGTTCGTTCTTTTGACCGTCCATGGAGTATTCTGACTCACAGAAACCTTATGAACTCAAACACACAAATGAACTTTCTCCAAGTGACTGCAACCCTTCATCAGGTTGTTGTTGTTTTTATGTGCCCGTTGAGTTACCTGTGACTCAGAGAGACTCTATGTACAGCAGCTCTAAACCCTGCTCTATCCTGTGTCAATATTATTGTCTCTGACACACCTACCCCCATTATCCCAGTCACTGAATTAATCCATCTCATCCAAGGTCTTCTTTTCTTGCACTGTCCCTCTATGCTCCCAAGCATGACATCCCTCTCCAAGGACTGCTTCCTCCTTACAACATGCCCAAATTATGTCAGATGGAGCTTCAAAATCCTTGCCTCTAAGGAGCAACCTGGTTTCACCCTCTCTAGGATGAACTTGATGATGTTTGTTCTTCTAACAGCCTGTGGTATATTCAACACTCTTCTCCAGCACCGCAGCTTAAAGGCACCAACTCTCCTTCTATCACCCCTAGTCATCGTCCAGCTCTCTGATGCCTAGCAAGTGACTGCAAAGACCACGACCTGGATCAGGCGCTCCTTAGTCTCTAGACTGACATCGTTGCTCTTCAGTACTTTGGAAAGGTCTCTGACAGCAGACTTTCCCAATGCAATTTGTCTTTCCAAGGCTTAAATCGCACAGGAGGAAACTGCCTCATCTTTCTCCTGTGTAGGCACTAGTGGATTCGAACTGCTGGAGACCTCCCGACAGATTACACCTCCAGAGCTCCCCCTAGCAACCAGGCTGGGCTGGGTAAAATTGTCCCATAGGGTTTCCAGGCTGTGATCTTTAGGGACGTTTGTTATTAGGTGTCTTCAGGTCAAGTACGACTCACAGCAACCCTAGGACCAACAGATCTACGCCCTGTCCTATCCAGCGCCACCCTCACCGCCTCACTGTTGAGCCCACTGCTGTCTTCTCTGTGTCAGTCCATCAGTTTGAGGGTCTTCCTCTCTTTCACCGACCCCTCCACCTTTCCAAGCATGATGTGCCTCTCTCTAAGGAACAGCCCCTCCTAACAACACTCCCACAGTGTGTGAGACGAAGCTTCATCATCTTTGCCTCCGACTGTGACCTCCTTCTCCTGAGGAGTGGCTGGTGGGTTCAAACCAGCATCTTGCAGTTAGCAACAGAGCACTTTCACCACTGCACCACCAGGGTCCCTTCCTATAAAGATTACAGCCTAGAAAACCCTAAGTGGCAATTCTACTCTGTCCTATAAGGTCCTAGTGAGTTGTTACAAAAGTTATAAAGGCTCAGTGGCACCAGGTAACAACATATATGTCATATGTTGAATATGAAATGCATATTTATTTAAGTCTATCTCTTTATATATTTTTTTTTAATTTTTTATTATTATTTTCTGGTGTATGTACCATCAAATCGGCTCTGACTGGTACAGGAGGAGTTTGTCCCTCCTTCTCCAGCAGAGCACCTGGTGGATTCAAACCACGTGCCTCTGGGATTGCAGTGCAGCTTCTTGTAAGTCTCTCTCTCTATTAGTCTGTAACTGGATTGACACAGTGACTTTAACAATGGACTCGAGTGTGGTGGAGATTGTAGGTTGGCGCAAGACAGGACAAGGCTTCTGTCTCTTTTCACAGGTCACGATGGGAGTCTTGGTGGACCTGACAGACACCTACCAACAACAGTCCATTTAAATAAACCAAACCCATTGCCCTTGAGTTGATTTTCACTCCCCTTGACCCTTGAGAACACAAGGGAGCTGCCCTGCAGGGCTTCCAAGGCTGTTACGGCCTTCACAGAAGCTCATGTCCTGTCTTTTTCCTTCGGCAGATCGAGACCACGGACCTTTCTGTGTGCAACTGAGAGCTTAACTATTGTGTCACCAGCACTCCCACTATATGTAGGAGATATACACATTTCAATATATAAAAATAGATTTGTTAGGGATTGTAAGGACTTGGGGCTTCTGTAGTGGAAATGGTGGTGGCGGCTGCAATTAGGGGAAGCCAGGGACTTCAGAGAGAAAAAGTGCATGGAGCTGAAGAAGGTGAAGTCTGACTGACCCATCCTAATCTGGTGTACAACCTAAGCTCTGAGCCCTCTGCATTTGGCCAAGAGGAGAACGCCTCTTCGAACAACTTCAGTGCCGATCAAGTAACCAGAGCAGTGGGGAAAGTGCTACATGGCAAAGTGTGAAATCTCAACCGATATTTAAGAGGAGCAGTCCCAGCCAGGGCTCTCCTGAACTGACTACAATATGGCAAAACATGTTATTTTGTTCTCTATAAAGCTATGGAGTAGCACAATAGTTAATATGTTGTTTGTTGTTATGTGCCATTGAGTCGCTTGCTACTCATAGCGACCCTATGTACAACAGCCCTGAAAACTGCTCTATCCTGTGCCAACTTTTTACTGTCTCTGACACACCTACTCTCATTACTCCAGTCACTGAATCAATCCATCTCACCAATGGTCTCCCTCTCTTTCTCTGTCCCTCTACCCTCCCAAGCATGATTGTTCCTCTCTAAGGACCGGTCTCTCTTTGCAACATGCCCAAAGCATGTCAGATGAAGCTTCAGAATTCTTGACTCAGGGAGCAGCCTGGCTTCACTCTCTCTAGGATGAAATGTTTTGTTCTCCTAACAGTCCATGATATATTTGATACTCTTCTCCAGCCCCCCAGCTCAAAGGCATCAATTCTCCTTCTATCATCCCTAGTCATTGACCAGCTTTCTGACATTAACATATAAAATATACTCTGAAGATAAATGTGAGCTGGACAGTGAATGAGGGTGACAGAAGAATGGATGTCTTTGAGCCGTGGCGTTGGAGAAGAGCACTGAACATCCCATGGACTGCCAAACTAGCAAATAGATGTCTTGGAGAAGGTGCAACCAGAGTGCTCCTTGAAGGCAAAGATGATAAAGCTCCGTCTCACATACTTTGGGCATGTTGCTAGGAGAGGCTATTCCTTGGAGAGGGAAATCAAGCTTGGAAAGGTGGGGGGAAGACTCTCAGTCAGGTGATCTGACACAGGAACCCAATGGACCCAAATGTGTCAGAGATTGTAAAGATGGCACCAGAGAGGGCAGGGTTCAGATCTGTTGTTCATAGGGTTGCTATGAATCACACTCAATGACACCTAACAACAACAACAACATACTGTAATATATGCATAGGATATATGCAGGTGCAAATTCACAGTTACTTACGGCAAACGTACACTGTCTCTGCAAAGACATTGGAAGAAACTTACTACTATTGGTTGTTCTGGGCTGGGAGGGAGACTTTTCATTTCTGTGAAAAGATAGCCTCTGTATCTTTTGAATTTTGAATTGGCTGAATGCACTACCAATTTTTAACAGTGTTGTTGTTGTTATGTGCCGTCAAGTCACTTGCGACTCATAGCAACCCTATGTACAACAGCCCTAAACTCTGCTCTGTCCTGTGCCAATCTCATTGTCTCCGACACACTCATCCTGATAACCCCAGTCACCGAATCAATCCACCTCCTAGAGGGCCTTCCCCTCCTGCGTCTGCCCTTCACCCTCCCAAGCATGATGTGCTTCTCCAACGACCGGCATCTCTTTACAACATGACCAAAGTATGTCAGACGAAGCCTCAGAATCCTTGCCTCCAAGGAGCAGCCTGGTTTAACCCTCTTCAGGATGAATCTGTTTTCTTAGCAGTCCATGGTAACCTCGATACTCTTCTCCAACACCAAATCTCAAAGGCATCAATTCTCCTTCTATAGTTATTCTCCTCCCTAGTCATTGTCCAACACAATTTTTTTAAAGTATTTTTTTAATGGCTTAAAACACATACGCCCCAAACCTTCCATTCTCAGTCTTTGAGGTTGGCTCCTAGGTAATTAAAACTCCAAAACTAAACCCATTACTGTGAAATCAGTTCTGGCCCGTGGTGACCGCACGTGGTACAGAGCAGAACTACATCACAAGGTATTTCTGGCTGCGGTCTTGATGGGAGCAGACTGCCAGCCCTTTCTTCCTCAGCACTGCTGGGTAGGTTCGAACCATCAACCTTCAGGTGAGTAGCTGAGCTCAGATCATTCTCACCACACGGGGCCTTTCTAATTCTTCAGGGCTCTACTGGGTCTATCAATCTAATGAATGCGTCCCTTCTTTTTATACCTCCCACATCCTGTGGTTCTGATACCCCCCTTGCACACGCATGCTAGCTGGACCTGCTGAGCCATCCAGGCACCCCAGTTCTCCTGTCCCCCAGGACTGCCCTTCCCCTGCACACCCTGCGTGTTCTCACCGCAGGGGTGGCCCACAGTTGACCAGCGTTATGGTCCTGCTGATGTAGGTGTCAGGCGGAAGCTCCCGGACTCCTGGGTTGTCATGGAAGCGCTCCACGCGCTGCTGGAAGCTGGTGGAGGAGAGGAAGAGACGGGAGGGAGGTGATGGCAGATGGAGCACGGCCCCTTGCCAGGTGGTTGGCCCTTCAGAGCCTGGGACCCCCGCCTCGCATCCTTCTCCAGCCTCCCTTGATCCCCTTTCATCTCTCCATCCTCTGCTGGATCCAGGGTGCTGGGGCCCCCTACCTGCCCTGCCTCCCCTACCTCTGCAGGAACTCCGCCAGGCCTCCCAGGCAGCAGTGAGCCATCCGCTCCCCGAACTCCTGGCTGATGCGGGGGGCACGCTCTGTGTGTTCCTCCAGCAGCTGCAGGGGCCAGGGAAGGGGGGATGCAGGGGCCAGGGAAGGGGGGAGAGATTAGTAAGCACGAGGTTCCACCTTCCCACCCCACGCTGTCCAGCTGCTCTCCTTCTCCGGCCCTGGCCCTGGCCCTGGCCCTACCTCACACACATCCTGGGCCAGGCTGCTGGGCTGGTCCTCAACGGCCCCCCAACGCTCTTCATTCTCCTGGAGCACACGAAGCAGGGCTGCCCGAGTCTGAGCCTGCAGTGAGGAGGTGGGGAGGGAGGCAGGGGTTGGGACTATCTGGCCTGAGGGGTTTTTGCCCTCTTTGGCCCCCCCCAGCCTCTTCCTCTTCAGCCCAAATACTCTGACAATCCATTTATCACTGAGGTCAGTCAAGGTGATGCGGAAGGGGCAGACTGGACCGGAAAACTCCCCCCACACCTTCCACACCCAAGCCTGCAATCCACACCCACGCCTACAATGGATGCAGAAACACCCAAAACGTCCATCAAAAGATGACAAGGTGTGGTGTGTATGCTATTTTGCATATAACACGCCCATGGAAATAATGCACAGATGTGCAAAGAGTGCATAGGAAAATAAAAGAGCAAAAGGCTGTGTGGTTTGCAAAAGGCATATATTTTCACTGAAAGATGGTGCGTGCAATTAACTATTAAGACCCATTGCCATAGATTGAACTCAGAGCAGCCCTGAAGGTCAGAGCAGAACGGCTCCATAGGTTATAATTATTATGGAGACAGGCTGGTAAGCAACCCAGGGTTTAACCCAAACATCCACCAACAAATGAATATTTAGACTTTGAAGCGAAACTATTCTCTGAAGTCACCTTTTAGCAAAAGAACAGATTTGTACACAAAGGTTTGCCATTTTAAAAAGGAAACCAAAAGAGCAATTAATTACCCTAAGCAAAGATGAGGGGCAGGGAAACTAGAGTACTGAAGACAGAACAACTAGAAGTCCAATGAAAGACAATGCTGATATGTTGGTGTCACTGCACAATTTGTGTGTGTGTGTGTGTGTGTGTGTGTGTGTGTGTGTGTGTGTACCGTTAAATCAGATCTGACTGGTACAGGAGGACATTGCCCCTCCTTCTCCAGCAGAGCATTTGATGGATTTGAAACTCACACCTTTGGGATTGCAGTGTGGCTTCTTGCCACTAAGCCACCAGAGCTTCCCTACTGCAAAATTTTTACAAAAAGTGTCACCTGGAAAAGACTAATCTGTTACGCAAACTTTCACCAAAGACATAATAAAATATTTTTAAAAATCAATAAACAAAAGTGGAGTGGAATTCTACACAGCTATAAAAAAAAATGAAGTTTGGATACATACATGAACCCTGACACCATTATGCTGAGTGAAATGAATGGTGTTTAGTTCCCCTTAGATGAGGTATCTAGAATAATTAGTGGTTACCACGGGTAGGAGGAAAAGGAGCCTTGTTGGTCTAGTGTGTTACATGTCAGCCTGTTAGCCACAAGGTTGGTGGCTCGAATCCACCAATCTCTCTTTGGGAGAAAGATTTAAAAAAAGATTTATAGTCTTGGAAGCCTGATGGAGGATCACAAAGAGTTGGAATCAACTCAAGGCCAGTGGGTGATGGTGATGGTGAGGGGTGGGAGGTACGGAGGGTGGAGGGACTCCTTGCTTTAAAGGCACTGACCTTCTCTTAAGGGTGAAATTTTGAAACTGGATAGTGGTCAGAGTTGCGCAACATAGTGGATACAATTAATGCTGCTGAATCCAGCAGGTAAACAATGTTGAAATGGTCCTTGTTTTGTTAACAGAGTATGCATAAAATTCAGAGGGCGGCTTTGTTCCCTTTTCCATTGTTGCAAAAAATATCTGCAACAACATCTTCCAAATCAACCTTTTTCACGCGAGTCCAGTTACATCAGTCACCTTGTGCAAACGCTCACTAGCTATTGTGGCCAAATTTTCCATCATCATAAACAGAAACTCTGGCTCCCTAAACAATGCGGGTCAACAGTTTCCCGCTTCCTCCGTTTAATAGCTGTTGAACTCAAGGGTCGATGGTTTCATGAGTTCACGGTCCTAAGGCTCTATTCTCAGGTTCTGCAGAATAATTAACTCAAGAGCCTCAGATCCTGTGATTCAAGAATTCCAAGGGTCTAAGCGATCAGTTGAAGTTCAAACCCACCCAGAAGCAGAGCAGAATAAAGGCCTGGCAATCTGCTTTGATAAAACTACGGCCCAGGAGACTTTGGGGAGCAGTTCCATTCTATAGCACGAGGGGCCCCCACAGGTTGGGGAAAGGGCCATATATGCATTGCATGTTGTTATTGTGTTTGTATACCACCGAGTTGGAACCAACCCACAGCTGATCCTACAGTTGATTTTCAAAGGCTGTACATCTCGTCGAGAAGACTCCCCATCATGCACCTGCAGGGCAGCTGGGGGATTCAAACCACACACCTTTGCGTTGGCAACTCAACACTTTACCCACCAGAGCTCCCTTGGAATTGAGGAGCAACTTCATGTGTTCCCCATAGCTGTTTGATCTAAGAAACAAATAGCTGTGCCCTGTTCAAAGATGGCAGCCCATCACACCGCTTCGAGTGTGTGCTGCTCTCCAGAAACCGGCCACTGTTATTTTCTGGGTCGCCATCTTTGAGTGGGGCACAGCCTGTTTGATGCTTCTTATTCTTAGTTGTCATTGTGTTGAGTATGACTTACAGTGACCCTATGAACAATAGATCTGAACCCTGCCCTATTCTGTGCCATCCTCATCATTGCTGACATACTCGAGCCTGTTGTTGTTGTTGTTGTTGTGTACCATAGAGTTGGAACTGACCCATAGCTGACTCCAGTGGGTTTTCAGAGGCAGCTGATGACCTCGAACCGTGTGCCTTCGGGATTGCAGTGCAGCTTCTTTGCCACTAGGCCACCAGAGATACTCAAGCCTACTTGAGTCAAAATACCATGAGCAACATTTGGTTGCTATGCAACTGTCATGCTACCATGGCAATTACTGAACTGGTTCAAAGCCCTGGTTGGAACTGAATTTGACAACACTGAGTTTGGGCTCCGAAAGTTTTGCACGTCTCTATCTCGGGTCAAGTGTTGCTTCTGGGTCACAGGTTGAGGATGTGAGTATGCTCAGTTCGGAGGTCCGAGGGGTTTGAGGCTGTCAAGTTGGCAATATTCCAATTTCAGTATTTGGGGCCAGGTCTAGCCTTCAAGCAGAGGGTATCTTGGCCAGGGTGAGGTTTTATGTCTAGGGCCATTTTAATCAGCAGGACCTCTCCCCAACTAACATACTTGGGGTTTTAATGCCTTTGGGTCTATAAGCTGTGGCTCTGTAACTTTCTCTACCTCTAATGTTTGAAGTATCTGAATGTACCAAATTTTAAAGAGTGACTCAATGCCAGATGGGATGCCTGGGTGATGAGACTGAACAGGAGATAGAAATGACAACATGGGCTTATATTTCCAGCTAAGCAGGGTGTGGGGAAGAATCTAGAAGTTTGCAAAGGAAGAGGGAGATGGGAACAGCGAAACTGAGGAGGACAGAAGATCACCTCAGATGCAATGGGAACTTCCCTTCCCACCCCGTTATGGCCAATGTCAAGTTTGCCATACCTTCACATCTGTGACGCATTCGTCCTCCAAACCCCGTAGGGTGCCAGGAGACAGCAGAGGCCCCAGCTCACCATTCTCCAGAGCGACCAGGTCCACCAGCCCTAGGACCTCTCTAAGGGGTGAGAGACAAGAGACAAAGAAGTACGTGAGGGCTGGGACTGGGCCAACAGACCCGTCACCGCCTCCTGCCATCCACTGTGTGCGAGCCATCAGGGGCCACTCCCTTCCTTTCTTGGGGCCAGCTTTGCTCATCTCTCAAAGGAAATCTTTGGAATCCTTGCTTCCCTGGCTCCAGCTCTGAGTCAGCTCCTTGATGGATGGTGTCCGGGCAAGACCTGAAGAGGTCAAGTCCAGGCCTGAAGCTCTGGCATGCAAAGCCTCACCCACGCTTGTTCTCAGCAGCCAGAAGCTCCCTTCCACCTCCACTCCTAGCTCTCCCACTTCACCTGGCCTTGAAAGTCTCCCCAGGCCAACCCTCACTCCTCTCCTCCTTGTCCTTTGCAAGCCCAAGCCTGTACCCTGTACAATAGCATCACCAGGCCACCCCCATTTCTCCCATGGTTTTCGCTCAAGGCATAGCCTTAGCCAGAAACGTCATCTCTCTACAAATGGCAATCAGCTCGTGTTCCATTGTGCCAGGAAGTTTCCCAGGCTCTCTACTAGGCCTCAGTTGCTCACAGACAGCATGAGGGTACTGTCTGTTGACATGTATTCCCAAGTGGGCTCTGTGTGGTTGATGTTGGCTATTGTGTGTCCTTCCAGTTCTGGAGACGCCCTCCTGATTGGAGGAAGACCCACCCACTCCCTTCACTCTCCAACAGGTGACTTGGGTGGAGTGAGTTCCCTTTTCCCTGGAGGGAGCAACCAGTCCAGTCAAGGCATATCACCACGTCCCACAGCTCATCCACAAGAATGGATATGTCTTAGGACTCAAAGGCTTAACAGTGATGCATTTAAGACTGAGAGGCTCAAGGGTACTGGGGTGGCAGGATTCAAGGGGCCAACAGGGTTGATGTCCCCAAACTGGAAAAGTCAATCAATAAAGTAGGGTCCAAAGAGGAAAATGAGACTAAAGGCTGAGGATCAGAGGGCTCACTGGAAGTGAAGTTCTAGGTACCGAAGTTCTGGTATCAGCTCTAAGGTTTCAAGAATGGGAGAGTTAACAGGCTAATTATCTAGGTTCTAAAGAGGGTACAGTGTGAAGGTTCAAGCATTCTAAGGGTCAACAGTGCAAAGCAAAATCAGCATAACTGAGTTCTAGGGTTGAATGGTTCTCGGATAGAGTTCTAGGACGGAATGGTCCTGAGAAGGATGGGAGTGTGTCAAGGCAGCTGCACATCGTCAGAAGCCATGGATCTGTTCCAGTCATTTAACTAGAAACCTTGTGGGCATTACTGCTGTTTGGCTGGACCACGTGGGACCCCCTAAACTCAAACTGAAGGGAGCGGGAATGCTGGAGCTCGAGTGAGGCAGCAGAGCAAGTTCTCAAAGGGAAAACCAGGGCTTTCTGGTCTTCCATTCAGTTCTTTTGTGAGGGATCACTGCTGTTTGGCTAGACCACGCAGGACCCCTTAAGCTCAAACAGGAGCATGTTGAGGACCCAAGATTCTCAGTCTGGAAGGATCCATAATAGTGAGGTGCTACATTTGGAAGGATTAACAGTGCTGACGAGGTTCTAGGTGTGGAACAGACAGCCATGCTAAGGTTTTAGGTGTGGAAGGTGATGGAGTAATAATAAGGTTCCAGATATGGAAGGCTCAAGGATGCTGAGGTCCCAACTCTAGAGGGAGGCAATGGTGTGGACAAGGATCTAGGTATGGGCTTGTCCACGATGCCTGGAAGCCTAGATCTAGAATGGATCTGTGATCCTAATAAAGTTCCAGGTCAGGAAGTCATATTGACTCTGAGATTACAGATCTAGACAGAGGCAATGGTGTGGACAAAGTTCTAGGTATGGGTGTATCCACGATACTGAGTCTAACATCTAGGATCTGCTATGGTAATAAGGTTCCAGATCTGGTAGGCTCAATGATGCTGGAGTTCTAGCTTCAGAAGGAGTCAATGGTATGGATGAAGTTCTAGGTATGGGTGTGTCCACAGTACTAAGAGTCTAAATCTAGAGTGGACCTGTGAGGCTAATAAGATTCTAGATCGGGAAGGCTCAAAGATGCTAAGACTCCAGGTTGAGAAGAAGCCAATAAGATTCCAGGTGTGCAAAAGCCATCCATGCTAAGGTTTTAGGTCTGGAAGGTGATGTGGTGCTAATTAAGGGTCCAGATCTGGAAGGCTCTACGATGGGTTTATGGTATTAACGTTCCGGATCTAGAATGGGGTTTTCCATGCCAATGAGGTTCTGGATTGGGAAGGATCATGATACTAAGATTCTAGAAGTCACTGTGCTGATAAGATTTTAGGGATGGAAGGTTCTTGAGATTGAGAAGGTCCACAGTGCTAAAAGTTCTGTAATTGGAAGTCAGTGGGGCTTAGGTTTTAAGACTGAGAGGATCAATGGTGCTAAGATTTTAGGATCTGAGGGGTTATGAGGCTTATAGGTTAGAAGTGAAGAGCAGGCAGCCCTGATGTGTTAAGAGTTGGAAGGGCCAGTGGTCCTAAGGCTGCGAAGATAGAAGATGGCAAGATTCTGGGACTAGAATCTCATCTAATCACAGCCACCTAATCGAATGGCCCTCATCCGTTAGGACTGCAGCAATGCTAGAGTTCTTGGTCTGAACGAATGGAAGGTGCTGAGGTTCTAAGACTGGAACGGTCGCAGGTATTCAGGTTCCCAAGCGGGAAGGCCCAGCACTGCTGAGGACCCGGGATTGCACAGAGGAGAGCGCTATGACTCCAAGATGGGAAGGGCTGGGAGGGTCTGGGGCGATCAGTGGTGCTTGGACGGTTGTCGGAATGCAAGGCAGTGGCTGGAGGTTCTCACACTCTGAGGAGTCAAGGGTTCCAGTGGACGTCCATGCCCGCTCACCTGGGGTACACCTGGTTGTGCCAATGCAGCAGCGCGTAGCGGTCGGCCAGCGGCAGCCTGCGGCGGGAGGCGGCCCCCAGCCACTCGGCCAGCGCGCCGTGGTAGCCGCGCAGGTAGACGCCGAAGGCGCCCAGGCCGGTGGGGTAGGCGGGCGCCAGGCGGCCGCGCACCACGCCCATGTCCTCCAGCAGCCGCGCGCGCAGCGCCTCCAGCT